ATTGACACAAACTGTCCGACTGAATATTAGAATACAGACATGTCTACATGTTTATCGAGTAACATTTGTAATCGTAGCAGGCAATGACTTTTTGTGTACAGGTGATTCTACGGGGTTGCAACCTCGTGCAACTGGGTAAGCATCAAGCCTCCTTCCGCCGTTGCAATCGCTAGACGCGATGCGTGGGCATTTAGGAAGGAGGACTTTAATCCTCCATGGGCAGGTTTTACCATTGTTCTGGAATGATTAATCGACTGTCCCTTTTCCTGTCTTTCTTTCTGGTATATGAAACTTTTAAGAATGTCATAGATAAATTGCAGCAAATGCATATTCCTCAAATCAAGTTGCTTGTCAGACTTTTTTCGAACCAAGCAATTTGGGAAATTTCCATCTTACATATTCCCTGTCAAATAATAGAGAAAATGTTCTTTTCAAACTACAGGTTAAAAAGGTTGCCAGAGGGCCATATACCTTGTCCCTTCCCCATATACCTTAACCCAATATTGACTGTTGCCGAGCAAGAGATGTCGCCCTGTCATATGACTTTTAGTGTAAGCAATTAATGCAAAACGTGTTTCGGATCACAGCCCTGTCCAAACATAGTCTAGATTATTTAGCTGCGGCTACAACGCTAAAGGGAAGGACTGCAGCCACTGTACCGTAGACACGCGAGCGGCTGTCAAGTACATTCGCACAGTGCACAAGGCCGGAGAGCGCACGGCCGACAAATTTTAAACGATCTACGAGATGAATTTTTCTTAGAATCACTTTTTGTGTATCTCTGTACTGTTCTTCCATGTATGAAGACTGCTTAATATCTTTTTTAAGTTACGTGAACTGAACAGTGCATTTTTTTCAAACATTAAAACAAGTGAGGGCGCTTTTGCTTTGATGTAAATCCAGGAAGACGTGGTTTAGGTTGCATGTTTTCATGTTCAAATTGTGAACCCCAGGTTTGCTATCTGAGAACATTTCTGTGAAAAGGATTTTTGCCGGATTATTGCCATATACTTACATAACAATAAATTGCCAAAGAAACTGAAATATACCACAGCAGTGGTTAAAAAAATCTCGAAATTTCTGTGCACAAATCAGTGCAACATTGAGATTCAGTGCCTTGGATGACATCATAGTTCTGCTCATGAATATGCAAATATGCATTAGCATTAAAACCGAAAAAAGCATCAAAATATGGGTTAAAATTGCAAAAAAAAAATTAAATGAGGTTAATTGAAACCCAAAGATGCCATTTAAAGGAGTTTTAGTAAAATTTGTACAAATCTTTCTATTTCCTGGTCCCTTTAATCACTTGAGACCAATGCAAAGCTGCAAAACTAAGTGGTGTTCATAATGAAAATATGTATGTATTGGAACAGTCAAGAAAAATATTGATTTGAATAATAATAATAATAATAAAGCATTTATAAGG